TGCAGCTTCTCTGCTCCCCAGGGCTTCCTGTGGGCTTCCTGCAGTGCTGCAGGCTGGGTGAGGGCTGGGATTGCTGCCCAGCAGAGGATGCCAGGTGGGGAGTGGGTCTGGCAGGGGCTGAGCTGCAGAGCTGAGCCCCAGCCTGAGCTCTGGAGCTGCTGGAAGGTTTGGAGCTCAGCTGGAGAAGAGAAGGCAGAAGTTTCTCATGCTGCTTGCTGGGTGCATGTTTGTTCTGGGGTGCACGGGCTGGCCCTCAGCAAAGCACAGGGGGTCAGATGGAGAGCAGAGCTCACAGGGCACAGTGGCTGGAGGGTGCAGTGGGACATCCTGTCTGCTTGCTGCTGGAAGGAGATCATCCATCCGTGCCAGCTGGGTGCTTTGGGGTCTCCATCTGTCCTGCCTCTGAACCTCATGGGACACAGAGCCACAGCAGGAGTGTGACGGGCTGGGGCTTGGTGCTCCAGGGCAGGAGGCTGGGCCCCAGGAAGGGTCCAATACGGGAGCAGGCTGGCTGCTGGCATCTCCTCGGCCGCCTGCCAGGGGAGGTGTGGATCCGGCTTGTCTGGCTGGTGTCGAGATGCCTGAATATGCATCTGCCAGAGAGGCTTCCAGAGGATCCCACCCGCCCAGGTTTCCATGGAGAGCGTCTCTTTGTTGAGGAGGAAGCGTCTGGCAGACAGTGTGGCCGTGGAAATACCTATAGAGCATTTGTTTTGCAAAGCACATGAATAACATCCCCAGCAGCTAGCAGCCTCACTTCCTCTGCTCACCCACCCGCGGCCTGGCAGAGCGACCTGGGATGCCTGCGGGGTCTTTGTGCTCCCAGTTTCTCCCTGTGTGCTGTGTGAGCATTCCCAGCCCGGCTGTGTCTGCCCAGCCCGGTCTCGTTTCTGGCTGGCAGGCAGGGCTCCTGGCAGGCAGCAGCAGCCCATCTTCGCTGGGGACACGTTTGGCTTCCCTGCTGGAGGCAGCAGTGAGAGCGCTGTAGGCGGCAAAACCGGGAAAGTTTTGCTCCCACCTCCCATGGGATGTGAAGGGAATTGCTTCCCTGAACGAAATGTCCTTTCTCTGGTCTCTCAGTTCTTTCTCATGCTTTGAAAGACCAAGAAGCTTAAGAGCTGTTGAGGCAGCAGGCAGCAATGCAAGGCACATGCAACAGCCCACAGTGGAAGGGATTAAGCTTGGGTTTTTATGGCACTCTGTCAGCATTAAATTAAGGCTAAATTCCCATCCTAAATGTTATGTTAACATGAAGTTACATCAGAAAGCACAGAGCACAGAACAGCAATATGAGGGTTTCAGATGTGTTACAGGGGTATTGTAATTATCCCAAATCAGGCATTTGAAACCCAGGGAATTTCAGATATAGGGTTTGCATCGTCTTTCGGGTTTGTAATTGAAAAAAATCCAAACATAGGAAGGCTTAGAAGCATGTCACTGAGATTGTTTGGGTGCCTTTATTCTGTGCTGCGGGGACATGTGCAGATGGAGGCAAAGAGTTTAAAAAATGATGGAACCAAATGTGGAATTACAAATGTTAAAATACCGTGAGCTGTGTTTGAGTGTTAAGGCTTTGTGGCTCTCCAGAGTAACATTAGGGCTGCTGGGCCTTGACTGTGCATCTCCATATCTGGACATATTTGGCTATCACTTTGCAGCTCACCTCTGTGCCTCATGCTTTGTAAAGCTCGTAAGTGGGGACAGTTTTAAGTCCTGTAGCACCATTTTGTTTAAGTTAAGAATGTGTACTTAATTCTATCTTAGCTTAGGGTTTTTTTTGTCTTGAGATTCCCTTGTTTTTTCAGATCTGGATGAGGATTAAACAAAAACCCAAAGGAATATCATCATAGCATAATTCTGAGGAGCTGTAGCAAGAAGCAGTTTTTTGGCTGTGCTTTGTAAAAAGAGGTTCCTCATTGTGTCAGGGCAGGATGGTTGCAGTGGGCGTGCGGAAGCTGCAGGGATGCAAAGTGGGTTGTGAATTCAGCCCTGTGACTGGTGTGCACAGCCCAGCTGGGCAGCTGTGTGGTGGCACTGCCTGGTGCCATGAAATCGCTTTCCTGGAGGAGCTGTGGAGCAGCAGTGCCCATGGCAGCGTGTGGCTGCAGCCATGGGGAAGCTCTGGAGCTGGGAAATCAGCCCCTGGCAGGGCTGTGGTGCTCCTGCAGACAGAAAATGATGACAGATCAGTTGAAATGGCTCTGCAGGGAGCACTGGATGCACTATCATAAAGACTGGAAGCTGCCTGTAGCTTCCAGTCGTACAAATTAGATATGACAATCATTAATAATTAGCTTTATCCTAACCTGTGGTACCTGAAGGAACCTGAGCAGAAGATTTACACTGGGCAGTTTGCCTTCCAGCAGTGTCAGGCACAGTGATGGGTCTGAAGCACCTTTGAGATCCTGCTGGGGAATGCAGCTCTGGGGGTCCCAGGCCAGCACTGCACCCCCGGGATGTCGCTGTTAGGCAAAGGTCAGTTCTCTGCTGAAGGAGGAGCATTGCAGCAAGGAACATGAGATGAATGATGGTTTTCTTCCAGAGCTGCAGGCAGAACAGGGCAGCCAAGGCACTGTGCTGCAGAGCAGCTCCAGCAGTGCTGGGCAGAGCTGAGCTTGGGGTGCCTCAGCTGTTTTTCTGGCCCTTGACTCAGCTTTTATTTCTTAGGCTCTGGCATCTGTTTGGGGGATAACGCAGCAGTGTCGTGCTCCTGCTGGTGTGTTTCTGTGGCTGCCTGGTGGGGCAGGAGGAGGTGAAGGGGAGCGATGTGCAGAGATGCACTGCCCTCCTTGTCTGGCACTACCTGCATTCCCTTGGCAGGCTCTGGGGAGGTGCCTGCATGCCCAGCCCTGCCAGGCCTTGCTGCTTGGGTGGGCTGAGTGCACTAACATGATTTTCTGAGATGAGTGTTTCTATTTGCCATGTTACCCTGATTTCTGAGGCTGCCAAGTTCTTTGGGTGTATCAGGAGGGCAGGCACAGCATGGGCCCATTCCCTTAATCACCAGCAGTGAGTTGCCTGCACATGTGCAGTACAGATTTGAGACACCTTCTGTGGGGGTTTTTGGTTGTGTTTTGTTTGGGTGGGGGTTTTTTTGGGTTTCTGTTTGTCTGTCTGGGAGATTTAGGGGGTTTTTTGGGTTTTTTTGGTGGTGATGGGCTTTTTTTTCCTGCGGATTTTCCTCATTGGATGAGGTGTTCTCTATTTGTGGAATCCCTGCCCAACTGAACCTCCACCAGAGCTGCAAACTCCCATCTGCATACAGCCCTTATTTTGTGCTCCAATAATTCCTAGGCAACTCTGCTCCCCTCTGAGCCTGGAGAGATCTGCCGGGTGGGCATGTCAGGGTGCCCTGGGGCAGAGCGGAGGTGCCTCGCCACGGCTGGGGACATGCGGCTGAGGCAGGACGAGCGAGCATCCCCCGGGCCAGCAGCGCCTTTCCGCGGGGACCCGGCTGGCGATGCCCGGGAGCCCCGGGCGGGGGCGGCCCCCGGCTCCCCGTGCCCGGCTCCCCCCGCCCGGGGGGCGCTTACATAAGCCCTGAGTGCGCCAGGCGGTGCTGGCAGGTGAAGGGCAGAGCGCTGAGACCGCACAGAGCCTCCAGCGAGGCCGGCTGGCCCCGAGCTGCGCTCGCTGACACATCCGCGGGTCCCCATGTGCGGGACCCTCCCTTCCCCTGGGGCTGCCGCAGCCGCGGCTCCGCTGCCGCCAGCCCGGGCGGGACTGCGGGCCAGCTCTGCCCCGGCTGCCCGGAGGGAGGGAGGGAGAGCAGATGCCCACAGGCTGCTCCCCCGCTGCCCCCGGATCCTGCTGGGGTGTCCCTGCCTTGGCCAGTGGAGGGGAGGCTGATGGGGGCTGTGCTGGTGGGCTGATGGGCGCCGAACCGGGGAGCAGGGCTGTGCCGAAGCCGGGCACGGAGCACAGGCAGGAGAGGAGAGGTGCCAGTGGGTCTCGTGCAGGGGCTGTGCTTGGCACCGGTGGTGTCCAACGGGCTCCTGATGGGGAGGGACACAGCGCTGTCTGCTTGTCTTGGCACCCACACCCTGGGCAGCCCCTGAGCGCTGGGACAGGCTCTGCAGGCATGGACAGACAGTCTGTGTGTCCGCACATGCTCTGCTTGTTCTGCCTGCTCCCAGAGCCACCTGCCCGGCTGGTGGCAGAGCCACTGAGCACCCATGGGTGGGAGGCTCAGCCAGAGATCCTGGCTCCTTCTGCACTGCAGGTCTTCATCTCTTCCAGAGCAAGTCTGCTGTTAATTCCCTCCATCTCTCCACAGTATCAGCAGTCACCTCCGGGCTGGGCCGCTGGCGGGCAGGCAGCAGCAGGCAGCTGGGAGGCTGTGAGGAGCTGGTGCCACGTCTCCCTGCGTCCCGACTCACCCAGCAGAAGGTGTGGCTGGGCTGCACACCCCTGACTCCTGTCTCTTCTGCTCCATCTGTTCCTGGTGGGCAAATCGGAGGCTTGGTGTGATGGGGCTGCTCTGAGACCTCGCCCCAGGAGCTTCAGGCCTGGATGTTGGTGCTGTTTCTCCCGGACAATGTGGCTGATACTCTGGAGAAGCCCTCTCTTCCCCCCTGTTCTCCAAGTGCCTGAGCTGGTGGCCAGCTGGGACCTGCGTCTCACCCTCTGGGTCCTGAGCTTTGCCTCGATGGTTGTGCAGATGGAGGGCCAGGTCTACTCGCCCACTGTCAACACGCACTATGGGAAGTTACGAGGGGTGCGCGTGCCGTTGCCCAGTGAGATCCTGGGGCCCGTGGACCAGTACCTGGGGGTCCCTTATGCCGCTCCCCCCGTCGGGGAGAAGAGATTCATGCCCCCCGAGCCACCACCGTCCTGGTCGGGCATCAGGAACGCTACCCACTTCTCACCAGTCTGCCCCCAGAACATCCACAACGCCGTTCCTGAGATCATGCTGCCCATCTGGTTTACCTCCAATTTGGATATCGTGGCCACGTACATCCAGGACCCCAACGAGGACTGTCTGTACCTCAACATCTACATCCCCACGGAGGATGGTGAGTCCCCACTGGGGTGACCGCAGGAGAGCGAGGGGGGGGTCACTCCACCCCTCCCCAGCAGTGGTTGGTCTCACCTGGGTGTTGTGTTTGAAGCATGTGGTTGTGGACCCTGCAGCATGCTGTCTGTTTGTGGAAAGCTTTCTCTGGCCACGCAGCTTGCCCTCTTGCCCTCAGCTGCCATCTCTGTCTCGCGTGCTCCTGCTCCTCCACGCCTCCCGGTCCCACCCCTCCACCTCCATGGCATCGTCACGGGTTCCTCTCTTGTATTGCTAAATCTGAATCCGACTCTCTGACCGCAGATCCACAGAGTGACAAGCTGATTTGTGCTCCCCACAGGCGCCGAGTGCCAGGTTCTGTCTTGAGTTGGTTCGAGTTCGTCCTTCCTCCCTGCTTCCCACCCTCCCCAGGTCCATGCGCTAGTTGTGGGCGTGGGCTGCGGCTGGGAGGAACACTCTCTGCCTCTCCCTGGGAAGATGCTCCGGCAAGAAAGGGACCGCAGAGCCCTTTTCTGGGCCCTGGTACGGATGGGAGGTTGGGGTGCACCGGCAGACACATCGCTTGGCTGCTCCCCCGTCCTCCGGAGGGACAGCGGCAGAGCGATGAGCCTGGCGTGCTGGGGACGCACGGGGCACGCTCCTGTTGGGGTGAGGCTGAGCGGCGCTGGGTGCCTCCTCGTCTAACCTTTTCCTTTGTAGGGGACCCCACCTGAACTGTAAGTAGAGGGCAGAGGAGGCAGCGCCTGCCCGCACGCCCGCCCCAGCCTCACCGCAACAGGAGCCCCCAGGGATTTTCAGCGGGCCCGAGAGGACCCGCAGCGGGTCTGCTGCACACAGCAGAGCAGCCTGGCGGGTCAGTGGCTTCTCCCAGGCTGCCTGGCTCCACTCCTCTGTCTCTGGGGCCCACGGGATGCATCATGCCTTCCTTCTCGCCCAGCACGGCTGGCCCAGAGTTTTCCTCCCATGGCGACGCTCCCTCCCCACCTCCCGCGGTCCCGGGGGCGGTGGGAGGGTAGCAGCGTGGTTGTGATTGCATGCCCACTCCCATCAGTGGAGCCTCCTGTTATTTTGTAGTCTTTTATTCATTTTACAGTAAAACGGATTTCCAAGGAATGCACCCGAAAGCCCAACAAGAAAATATGTAGGAAAGGAGGTATGTAGCAAGCCGACCGGCAGAGAGGCACAGAGAGGAAAGAGAGAGAGAGTGAGAGAGTGAGAGGGTGCCTGGCTGGCCCCCAGCCTGCAGCACTCCTCCAGCACCTCTCTGTGCTGCCACCTGGACTGTGGACCCTCCAAGCAGCCCCCCCTGGCACCCCCTGCTTCCCCCTGGGAGGAGCCCCACGGATGCTCCGGCCAGCCGGGAGCACAGCTCTGGGGTCAGGTCATGAGGATGCTCTTGTTGCTCCAGGCCTTTCAGAACAGCTTCTCCTGGGCTGAGCCTGCACTCCCACCTTCATCCCACTGGCACTGACAGCCTCCTGGGCATGAGGGGTGGCCTCTGATGGCAGGAAGCACTGAAATGCATCCATCCCTCAGGCTGGGTTACCCCGCTGGGGGGTGTATGGACCTGCTCAGGGGAGGACCTGTGTGATGGGGGACTGCAGTCCATCCTGGGCTGAGCTTTTCCCCCATCGCATCCCTGATCATTTTGCATCCAGAGCTCCTTGGTTGAAAGCATAAAGCCTCTCCTGGCTTTGTAAATGCTGCAGATTCTGCCCTGAGCTTTGTGCCTGCCAAGGCTGCTCCCCACTGCTCACACCCCCATGCCAGTGCCAGTCCTGCCAGTAGGGATTTGGTCTCCAGCCCATGGCACAGCAGCCTCCCTGAGCCCTAGCTGCCCCATGGGCAGCTGAGCACCTCCAGTTCAGACATGTCTGCTTTGCCTTGCCTCCACTGACCTTCCCCCATTGCCTCTAAATGATCCTGTATTCCCAACCAGTGACATGCACAAGGGAGTAGACATGTACAAATGGTAGCTGGCTGAGCCCCGTGTCAGACACAATGCCTCACCCATCCCTCCACACAGCCCCGTGCAGGCAGGGAGAGCTGACTGCTCTGTGCATCCCAGGATGAACGTGTGGACGGTCAGGCAGCCAAGCTCTCCTGAAAGGCTCAGTACAGGGCACCTACCCAGCACAGGCTGCTGTCCTGCAGCACAGCATCCCTGCATCCCAGCCTCTGTCTCCCTGCACCCCTGGGTCTGGCGGGGCCAGTGCAGCTGGGCTTGGAGGTTTGGGGAGCGCTTTCCTTCCAGCCGTTTCCCCCAGTTCTGTTGTTTGGTTTCTTTGCTTTGCTTTTCCTGTTGCTGTCCTGGCTATTCACACGCCATCTCTCTGAGTGCCAAGGCTGCCCCTGAAAGGGCTGGCGCATTAGGGAGTCTCTGCACGCTGCCTCCGGAGCCGGCTGTGCCAGTGATCACCAGCCACTTCAAAGCGCTTCCTCTCCCGGCCCTCCCACCGGCTGCCAGGGCTGGCAGACCCCCCCAGCCCCAGCCCTGCAGCCAGGGAAGCAGCCTCCAGGTCACTGCCAGAGAGGGGGATGATACAAGGCATGACAAAACACCTTGGGTGTGCTCATCTCCTGGGTTTCCCTCCCCGCTGGCTCTGCTCACGGGCAGGGTTTCTTTGCAGCCTGTCTGCGTTGCCTCTGGTCACCTCCCAGGGAGCTGTGGGGGACATTCCCTTTGCCCCCACTGGCCTCTGTTGACTCATGGACCAGCAGATGCCCAGTGCCAGCCATGTGGACATCCAGGTGTGGCGTGCCAAGAATTAAAGCACCCAGACACTGGCACTTGCCTCCTGCTCTGGCCAGGCTCTGGTAGCTGTTGGCTTGAATTAATTGAGTCACTTGTGATGAAACACAGAAGCTCCCACACTCCTCATTGTGTATCCTAGGTTAGTAATGCTTGGGGAGAGGGTAATGTACCTGCAGTGCTGATTTCCTCAGGTTGAACATTTGAACATTGACTCATTCTGGAATAATCATGATTACTATTTCTAAGGCCACAGATGAGCAGTGATAAGCTCTCCTCTCACAGAACTGTATTTTGGTGGCTGAAAATGCCTCAGCTCCCTGCTTACTGGAGTTTTCATGACTTCTGCCACCCCTAAGCTCTGTGTATTTCAGAGCAGACAAAGGACTGAGAATTTATCAGTCATGCTTGTTTATCTCTGGGACAGAAAAACATCCCTGTTTTCCTGCCCAGTTGTCCACGGTCATTTCCTATATGGAAATTTTCTAAATGCCAGTCTCCTCCATACACATTGGTCCCTTCTCTGGTAGCAATACAGGGCAGCAGTGCTTTGAGAGCAGCTAGCCATGCATGGTGCCAGGGGAGCTGGCAGCACTGAGGCTCATTTGAGGCTCAGATTTTGCTGCAAAAATAGTGCTGCCCACCCAAAGACCCATACACACACAGACACACACCCTGGGAGTACAGTACCTATGTGCAAAATGCAGCTCTGCCCCATGCTCTGTGCTGCCAACACTTCCAGCCTTTTTTTGGCTGTGGTAGATGCCAAGATGATTTTTCCTTTCCTTCCTCGCCAGTCTGGGCAATCCTTGCTGCAGGGCATGAGGAGGTGGATGTCATTTTTGGAGGGGAAAAATGTGGTTGCCCTGCACTTAGCAGCTCTTCCTGGTTTTCATTAGCGAATGCCCAAATCTCTCTGGCTGGGACTGCGAAGGGTCTGTGACATTGCAGAGACAAAGGTGCAGGTCCAGCATCTTCCTCTGCTGAGTGAGGGTGGCTGGAGCTCCCAGCAGCTCCTGGGCTCAGGAAGCTCTTGGACACCTTCTCTGCTGCTCTCCAAGAAGCTGACTTGTCCAAGTAGCAGCTGAGGCTTCCCTACAGCTGCACGAATTCTGCAGTGCTTCCTTGCTGGAAGCTTCTTCCCAGCCCCCTGGAAGCCTGGAGCTTTGCAGAGCTGCCCGTGGGCAGAGCTCCGCTGCGGGCAGCGATTTGCAGAGGTGAGGGTCGGGGCTGGTGCCGCCGGGGCAGCAGAGCGTGAGCAGATGCAGAGCTTTTACAGAGGCCGCTCAGGGATGGAGATAACCGAGAACTCCTCTGCATCATCCCGGGCAGGGAGGGGCAGGGAGCAGCAGGGTGTGCTGCAGTCCCCGAGCCAGGGCTGGTGGCTAGGAGGGCTCTCAGACACAGGTCCCAGCTGAGCTGTCCCTGCCTGTGGGGCTGTGCAGCAGCAGCTCAGCAGCTGCACCGTTGTTGGCCTGTCCCTTGTCACTCCCAGAGAGGCAGCTGAGATGCTGTGGCTGGCAGCAGGTGTCCCTTTGGGTGCATGTAGCTATCAGAGGCTCTGCTCCCTGCAGCGTGGTGGCTGCTTTGCAGGAGTGGGTGCCCCAGGGAGCTCCTGCTGAGGAGAGGGTGCTGGAGCTGCCTATGGGTGCCCTGAACAGACATTTGGAACTGGAAAGGTGTCATCTCAGGCTCCTGCTCTTCTCTTATCCACACCATGCTGAGAATGAAGGCTCAAGAACTGAGGCTCCTTACCCTGCTTTGTCTCTGTTTGCACTGGTGTCAGTGCTGTTGGTATGGTTTACTTAAGGTAGAATAAATCCATGGATGCCCCTGTTTCAGGCAAAGTGATTTTTTTTTTTTTTACTAAAGTTGAACTTAAATCTTCCTAGTGGCTCAGATAAGAGCATATGCATCCTTCCTATCGGCCTGAACAATGTCACTTTGCAGTCAGCTTAAAGTGAAGTGGCAGACAACAGACATTCGCCTCCTGGGTTAGTGGAGGGTGTTTTTGATGGGTAAGGAGAATAAGAGCCATGAGCCCTTTTAGTTTTTCCAGCTGTGAGTCCATAGGCTTAAACCCATCCTCATGAGAGTGGGTGCTGCTGCAAGGCTCTGCATGGTGATGTTTGTTAGAGCAGAGGAAGATCTCCTGGGCTGGGTATCCCTGAACATGGCAGGAGCCAGTGGAAGGTGTTCCTGGGTGAGGGAAGTGAAGCTGTGGTTGCTCTCACGAGCTGTGGGGCATTGGTGGGTTGTGCTGGAGGTGAACACTGCAGCAAGGGCAAAAAGCCCCCTTGGTCACAACAGTCAGTGTTGGCCATAACCACCCTGGCACCTTCCTGCTGATGGGGGAGGCTTGTGCTTTGCATCTGCCACACACACATGCCACTGCTTCCCCTTCCCCTGGCCTGCATCTCTGCTCTCCTGCTTTGCTTAGCTTCCCAAGTGCTGCTTTCTGCCATCTCTTCCGTGGTGCCTGAAGCTCAGGTTGTTGGAGGCTTGTCCCAGCCATCCCTAAGCTCTGCAGCAGCAGTCTCCAGCTGGATCCCTCCCTGCTCAGCTAGGACAGTTGCTCAGGTCACAGAGATGCTGTCCACTGCCCTCTTTTACAACCTGACAAGTCCTCATAGCTGATTCCTCCATTCTCATCTGCACAGAGACTTTTGTCCCTGAAGGAGATCAGGCTGGAGGGCTGCAGCCTGCCCAGCCCAGGGCTTTAACAGTGCCAGGGCCTTTGGCAGTGGAACATGATCTCCAGTGCCTGGGGTCAGCTTCTCAGCTCTGAAGCACAGCGTGGATCACATCACTGTCTGTGGTCTTCATTAGAGAAAAATCCCTATCCCTTAGAAGCACCAAGGGGTTGGTGCATAGCACTGGTTAGCAAATACTGCATGAGTACTTTGTCATTTAAGTGCTTTCTGGGCTTGCAGCTCTTCCTAATGAAGACGCAGTAGGTCAAGCCTGCAGCCTCCTGCAAAGAGGCTGAGTGGCTGCACATGCCCAGCCAAGTGTGTGCAGGGTGGGCTGGGCAGCCAGTGTGGGAAGGATGCAGCAGGAGGGGGAGATGCTGGGGCTGAGGTGCTGGGGCAGGAGATCACAGGCATGGGGGTGGTGCTGGGTGAGAGAGGAGAATGATGTGAGATGCTCAGAGGATGGCTGGGTGGTGAGGCAGGAGGTGAAGGGGTGGGGCTGGAGTGTGGTGGGGAAAATCAGAACAGCACATGAGACAGGATCCATCCCTGCCCTTGCAGGAGCAGCTCTACCTCACCTCTTTGTGGCAGTGTGTCCCACCTGGTCTCAAACACCTCACGCTGCCTCTTCCAGTGCCTCACTACCCTTTCTGCCAGAAAGGTTTTCTTCTCATCCTGCCTCCTGTAGCCCCAGGGCTGCCTGAGAGGGACTGGCTGTTCCACCTCACAGCAGTCTTTCACGTGTTGGGATGCTGCTGCAGCTCCCATCATGCCTCTGCTCCCAGCATTCATGTGCCCCAGCCTTCTGCAAACTTTTCATGCCTGCTGGATTTTTCGAGGTTTCTGGTTGCTGCTCCTCCAGACTTTCTCCAGCAGATCATGCTGCTTAGGGCATTCTACAAGCCTCTCACCCTGGTGGAGCTGCCTCACAGCCATTTCAGATCTCTTTCTCGTCTTCACAGATTCCTTGTAAATTCAAATCCTGTCCCACTCCATGCTGCCATCTCTGTTATCCACCTCCTGTGTCACCTGCAGAATGCCACTCCCAACCTGGCGGAGCAGGGCTCCCCAGTTTTGTCTTTCTGACCAGTTTTGTGCATTTAGTCCTGTAGTTCCATGCAGCCACGGGCTTGCCCCTTGCTGGAGGGAGCTTTGCTGGGGGCTGTGAAAGCCCTTGCTGTGGCAATGGGAGCTGTTGGTGGTGGCAGCAGGACCTGGGGTCAGCTGGGTGCCTGGCAGGGTGTCAGAGCCCCTTGTCCCAGGGGAAGGTCACTGGGCAGTGCAGGCACTGTGTGGGTAAGTCCTGCCTGGGGGAAACCCTGCTGTCTCCCCAGAGCTCACCATCGCCTGGGGAGCTTTTTGTAGCAGGCATTAGGGAGCAGAGGACTTGCAGGCATTGGTCTGCAGCTCTAAGAGGATGAGAACACCCAGCCTCTTCCTGAAATTCAGACCTCCAGAGCACAGGGATGGCACCACTTGCCTTTGTGTCTACACTGACGTGCAGTCCTTTGCAGGAGTGGGGTTTTGGCACAGGTTTTTCAGCACCCCTGCTCCCTGCCAGCCCACAGGCCACCTCTCCTGGCTCCTGCTGGCTGCAGTTTGGCTCACTGCAGCCATCCACAGCAGCAATCCACATGGGGCTGCTGGGCTGGCCCATGCCCCAGCACTGCAGGTTGGTGAAGGGGCACAGAACATCTGTAAGGCATTCAGGATGTTACAGAAATTAATATGTTTAGGATTCTGCCTTGCTCAGGTCAAGCTGATTGGTGCCCTTGAAATCCTCAGTGAAACATGGAACATGTCTTGTAAGGAGGGAGTTGGGCAGGATGGAGCCGGGCAGCTCAGGGGAGGATCCCTGCGTGCTGTGGTGGTCTCATGCAGTGGTACCAGTGGTTTGTGGCCAGGCACAACAAGGAGCCACACACCCTGTGGGGGTGATGGGCAGGAACTGCCTGGTGGTCAGTGGCCCTGCAAGGCGACCCTTGGTGTGAGCTCTGCAGAGGACAGTTGTCCCTGGGCAGCAGAGCTGGGTGCTAGGAGAGGCAGCCTTGCCTGGAGCAGAGGGTGCATGACCAGGTGGGGGCCAGGCTGGGATGCAGGGGGTCAGCAGGTGCTTTGAGACTCATCCACCACCAGCGCTGATGCTGTCACAGCCCCACTCGCGTCTTCCCTGCCACCCCAGCCCTCCCAGGGAGGATCTGGGAAGGGGCCCGGGTGAAGCAGCATCCTGGCACACTCCTGGGGCAGCCCTGCCCGTGCCCAGCACTGCCCTGGCTCTGGGAGAGGTGCAGTGTGAGTAGCCAGCAGTGCTGTGGGGCACAGGCGTGGCCCCACTGTCTCTGCTATCATGCTATTTTTGAATTCTCTTTTTTTTTTGTGTTCTTTTTTTTTTCTTTTTTTCTTTCTTTCCTTTATTTTGTTTTGTTTTCTTTTTATTTCCTTTTGTTTTCCTTTTTGTTCTGTCTCCTCGTGTTTGGTCCCCAGGAGCCAGCGCTAAGAAACAGGGCGAGGACTTAGCGGATAATGACGGTGATGAAGACGAAGGTATTTCTGTGCTCGAGGCTGCCACTGCATGCCACGCAAAGCAGCTCCGTTTGCCCGCCATCGCTGCCAGCCCAGGGAGCCCTGTGTGTGTCTGTCTGCCGTGCCAGGCAGCTGCGCGGGGCGGGGGGCAGGCTGGCCGGCTGTGCAGGGCACCAGCACCTTCCCCTCCTCCTGGCGGGGAGAGCTCACGGGGGTTTTGCTCTTTAGGAGGAGTTTGGTCCCGCTCAGCTGGAGCGAGGGCAGGGAGGAAGCATGGCAGCTTGGGAGGAGAGAGGCCCTTGGGCACCTGGGCCCATTTCACTCCGAGCCCGGTCACATCCCACCTCCAGCCTCATCCCTCCAGAGTCAGTGACATGCATCTGGGAGCCAGCTACCTCCCCATCCACCCTTGCCTGGCCCTGCCCTGGCTGTGCCAGCAGCCTGAACACTGCCTGGCACCCAAAGGGCATCTGGCCGTGCCCAGGAGACCCAGGGTCCGCTTGGTTTCTGTTAGCTTCTCTCCTTCCTCACCCAGTGGAAGTGAGGTCTTGCTTGCAAGCACCAGCCAAGACAGAGCAAGTGGCCTTTCAAGCAGATGTGATTCTAGATGAATGCCAGGACTAATCAAGCTGCAGAATAGGCTATTTTTAGTAAAACAGGGTGGTTTGTCTGCAGGTTATGGAGTCAGCGTGTTTGGCTGCAGAGATGTGATGAGGAGGGAGGAGGAAGGGTTGGCCAGGCTACAGCCCTAATGTGCTGAGGACAGTAAAGCCTCATGGTGTGCAGAAGGCCCAGGGCAGCTCCAACAAGGCCTGGCAGATGGCATTTAGGATCTGGGAAATAGATGAAAAACTTTTTCCTTGGCAGTACTAAAACCCTGTTGTTTACTCCAGCTAACCTGTGCCCCATGATCTCTTGTACCAGGGCGTAAACTGGCGTTCAGCCTAAGTGACTGCACTGTGCTAAATCCACACACACCAAAATGTGCTGCAGCAGCTCGGAGCTGTTTATTTCCTGGTACATCCCTGTACATCGTTGCATTCTGCTGTGAGGAGAGCCCTTTGCATGTCAGGGAGTGGGTGCAGGATGGAGGAGAGGACACTGGCACAGGCGCTGATGTTCCTGCCCCTCACATTTCAAGCAGGTGGTCCTGGAAGAAATTGTGCTGATGTAGCTGTGCCACACAGGCAATGTCTGTCCTGGAGGAGCTGCAAGTACTTTTTGCTCCCCTGGTCTGTGCATTTCTGGGAAATAGGACAAATAGGAAAAGAGCCAGTGCAGGTTTGGGGTTTGGCATAGCCTCATTCTCCTGGAGGAAGGGGGTTTTCTGTATGGGAGGCCACCTTTGGCCATGCCGTGGGCCACACCCAGAGGTGAGAATGGCCACAGATACCCATCAGCCTGGCCTGCAGCCCCTGCAATGGGCAGGCCACAGGGAGGAGTGGACGTGGAGCACGGGCAGCCCAGCCGGGCACTGGTGTTGGTGTGGCTGTGCCCAAGGGTGCCAGGCCTGGTGGGACACTGTGCTGCACTGCTGAGGCAGGCAGGCAGGGAGCAGCAGCTGCCTGGGGCAGCTGAGGCCAAGCAGGCACTGCCAGCCCACCTGGGCAAGGTGCTGGGCGTGAGTGAGCTCAAGGGAGGACAAAGTCCATCGGTCTGGATCGCCAGCCCAGGACAGGGCTGGGCAGAGCAGGCGTGTGGGACCTGGCGATGTCTCCAGTCTGTGTGACATGGGCAGGATGCACCGGGATGTCATTCCCTTGTGGGTGGCCATGAGGGATCACCAGCCGGTGAGGCAGAAGGGGCAGGATGTCCCCTGGACAGGAGAAGTCGAGAGAGGGAGCGTGGCTGCTCCCTGTCCCCTAGGCTCCCACCATCCTTCCTCCCCGGCCTCGGGGTCCCATTGCCCATCCTCACTCCATGCCTCATGCCCTGTCCTCGTCCAGACGCCGTGCTCACCTCCCCGACACGCACACGTGCATACACTGTCTGCCTCATCACCATGTCTGTGTCTGGGCACTGGGGTGCCGTGGGTTTACACCCAGACAGGCAGGTCTCTGCCTTCCCAGGGGAAGGGGAAGGGGGGGTGGGAGAGTAAGACACTGGAGCACACATCAGTGGCCCCCCCCTCCTAGGTCCTGCACACCCCCATCCCTGCCCCCCTCCGCAATGCCAGCTTCCAGGACTCAGGGAGTGCTTGGGTCCAGCCAAAGGCAGGACATGGGGCTGCATCCTGGGGCTGGACTCTGCAACTCCCACCCACAGCAGACCCGATCTGGCTCCCACACCGTGCCAGATCTCCGGGGAAGAGCAGTGGGGTCCAGCCAGCATCCCTCCCTCACGTGCCCAGACCCCGGAGGGGACAGCAGTGTGGGGACAGTGCAGCAACAGCCACCTCCCGGAGAGGGGCTGGCAGGGTTGGTTCAGTGGTGTTTGGCTTGGGGGGTCCTTGCTGTGGCTCCCAGGAGAGCTCTGGCTTTGGCTCCTAAGCCCCCTCCCTGGTCCTGGCAGCTGGCATTGCCCCTCACTCGGTCTGCCTGCGGGCAGGGTGCTGCGGCCAGCGGTGCGGCGCTGTGTTTAACCACCTCTCCTTCCAGACATCCGGGACAGCGGCGCCAAGCCCGTCATGGTCTACATCCATGGTGGCTCCTACATGGAGGGCACGGGGAACATGATAGACGGCAGCATCCTGGCCAGCTACGGCAACGTGATTGTCATCACCCTGAACTACCGCGTCGGAGTGCTCGGTACGAGCTGGCTGTGCCCCCAGCACGCCGGGCACTGGCACAGCCTCGTGCCTGATGGGGCTCAAGAGGCCTCAGGGGGTGGAGGGGGGCGTGGGGCCCATGGGATGCGCTGTGGGCACTGCCCCTGCCCTCTGCCCGGCCAGCCGAGCGGGCGCCACGTGGCACAGCCCCCAGCACACGGTCCCAGCCTAGGCTGGGGCCTGGCACCAGCCCCCCCCGGCTCGTGTACACAAACTGAAAGCAAATATTGGTTTGTGGTTAAATGAATAATAAATGTGTTTACCCAGCATCTCCTCCTGAGAGGGCTCAGACGGGTGAGGTGCCAGCGGGTACTGCCTGGCTGTCCTGGGGACCTGGCAGCTCTCCCTCCCTGGGCACAGGCAGCCTCCTGTGCCAATTGCTCTGCTGGGACCCCCTCAGCAGCCCACCATGACGTGGCTGTCTGCAGTGGGGACCACAGGGTGTCAGGTGCCATGCAGAGGAGGGTGGCAGTCCTGTTTCCAAAGCACTGGTGACTTAGAGGGGCAAAATGAGGACAGAGGGTCAAAAGGCAGTGCAGTCCCCTGCCTGAAGCAGCAGAAACCCCCAGGAGCTGAGACAGAGGAGGCTTGTGTGCCACACCACTGCTGCTTCCCTTGGCAGCAGGGAACACGGGGTGTAGAGGTTTGGGCACAGCTCCTTTCCAAGCCAAGCTCTCTTCCTGGCCATCCAGCCTAGCATGTGCTCTCCCTTGGGCTCCTGCCTGATACCTGGGGCAGCACATTTTTCTAATGGACTCCAAAGCCCATAGTTTCATGTGGAAGATGATAATTAACCTATTCAAAACCTTTTAATGTGAAAAGTCCTAAAATGGATAGGTGCAAAGATAAGACACATGAGTCACAATACGACATTAAGTGATGCCTTCATCATTTCCATTGAGGTGGTGCACCACACCCAGCCAGACCACCTCCAGGTGCCAGCACAGCCCTGGGGCCCCTCCCTGTGTGCTGGGGTTACCTGCCTGGATTTTACCTCGGGCCCCTCAGGTTTTGGCTTCCTGCTTAAAGTCAAAGCAAACCAAAGAGTGATAACTTATCTTGGGTGTTTCCTGTGCTATTGAAAGCATTTCTCACCTTCTTCCTCACTGAGAGCCCTTGTATTTAAACTGCAGTCTGCTTAAAATTGCTCTCTGCCCAGCCCACCTCCTGACACTTACAGAGCCTCCCCCAGTCCATGCTAGTCCATGGAAAGCCTTGGCTGTGCTCACTCTCACCCTGCCTGCAGCCACTGATGCTTTCTGAGCTTTCCTTGGAGCTCGTGTGAGATGTCTTGAGCTGTTCTAGCCCTGGTGGTGCTAGGTGGGTAGGACAGAGCTTTGTGTCACTGCTAGTTGTTGGCCAGAGAGGCTCCCCGAGGTTGGCAGCTGCTCTCTCAGCCCTTCACCCTCTGTGAAGGGTGGCTGGAGCTCAGTGGTGTCCCTGCTCCAGCTTAGAACTCACAAAACTCTCTTGTGGTCTCATGGTGGGAGAGGGTCCCACAGAAGCTGCCCAAGGTCTGGGGAAGGGGGGTGGGAAATCAGGACTTTGCCTGTTTCCTCACCCCTAACCGGGCTCCCCTTGGCCCTCAGGGTTCCTGAGCACGGGGGACCAGGCTGCCAAGGGCAATTATGGGCTGCTGGACCAGATCCAGGCGCTGCGCTGGGTCAGCGAGAACATCGCCTTCTTCGGGGGAGACCCCCTGCGCATCACCGTCTTCGGCTCGGGCATCGGCGCCTCCTGCGTCAGCCTGCTCACCCTGTCCCACCACTCGGAAGGTACGTGCCACCGTGCCCAGGCACCTGATGCCAACCCAGCTAGGGGAGCCCAGCCTGACAAAGCCAGGGCTGCTTTCTAGTCAGCCACTGGTGAGAGCCTGGACCGGGACTGGGAGGTGAAACCTTCTCATCAAGGGCAGGAACAGGCCATGGCAGAGCACGTGGGAGCCTGGCATGGAGTGGGTGCTCCCCTGCACAAGGCTGCAGCCCAGGGCCTCCCCTTGGCACGGGGAGAGGTGGGGACCCCTCCTGTGGTGCCCTGCCCTGGTGCTCAGGTGTTCCTAGTGCAGGTGTGGAGGGGGTGTCGGGCATCATGCAGGGCACTGGGAATCTCTCCTAGCACTGATCTCAGTGCTAGGAAAGGAATTCACACTGGAATAGAGGGGAAGACAGAGCACCCCAGACATCCCTCCTGAGCCTGGGGAGGGATGGAGGGCCCTGTGTTATGAGACTGGCAGAGCTGGAAGTGCTGCACCTAGCAAAACACAGGTGGAAGTAATATGATTAATATCTGTAAATATAGCAGAGTGTTTACTCTAAATAAAGAAGGGAATTATTTATGCTAAAAGACTGTGTTGGAATAAGAGCAAATGCATGTAAACCACCTGCAAAGACATTTACATCAAGTACTGAGGGGGAGAAAAATTAACTGTGAGACTGGAGGTGTTTTTGATAAATTTCCTAAAGGAAATTGTAGGAGCAAAGCCTGAACAGGATATGGTCCACAGGGGAGCAGCCTGCCAGGGACCTGTTCACGAGCTTTACATGAGGGTGCAGCCATCTTCCAGTGCTGTGTCCCCAGGTGTGGTGCTGAGGAGAAAAGGACATGTGTGAGCAGCAGACACGAGCATGAGTCTGTCCTTCAGAAGCACACAGCAAATTGCACTCAAAGCTGAAGAGCTGCTGCCCTGCTCAACAGCCTGGGAACCACACGGGAATGGAGACCTCCAGAACCTCAGCAGGGCTGATGGCTGATGATGGGGAGTCTTTTACAGGCTGAAAGCTCCTGCGGAAAGAAAAAGTGTTTTCTCTGCCCATATTGAGTGTAAAAGGCTGGAGAGGGATGTGTAATGCATTCTCAATGCTTCTGAGGGTACTCCTTTCCATCACAGGAGTGCAGCAGTGTGTGCTTGGCTGCCCAGGTGGCCCCAGCCTCTTGCAGGGGTCCAGACTGGAGCAGCATGGAGAGAGGCTGAGGGTGGATTGGAAGGGCTGCTCCTTGTGACTTTTCAGTCATGAAAAATGCTCCTGCCAGTATATGCATTTCTCAGGTGATGCTGCACAATGCCACTAAGCCCTGCACCTGCATGGCGAATCCTTTGCTGCCCCATGCAGCCCCAGTGCCCCTGGTGTGTGGCCCCCTGCACTCAGAGGTGCTGGGTGCCCCTGCAGCTGGGCAGGGGAGCTGCTGCTGGCTGTGACTGCTGTGAGGCACCAGGGGAGTGCTCAGTGCTGCAGCCAGTGTCTCATAAAGCCAAACGGCTGTAAAATGACCTCAAAAAATCCCCTGGGCCAGAGCACCCATATCCCCAGGGATGGGTAGCTGGCTCTGGAGCAGTGCTAAGTTGCAGCCTACAGAACAGGTGGGTTTGTTTTTACTGCATCAAAATAAAACTTCTAGTGATCACAAGCTATTAATGAAGCTGCTGATTTGTGCCTGCTCTGCCAGGTGCTGCAAGAGACAGACACTGGAGGCTTGGTACAGCACATGTTGGGTCTGGCTGCTGGGGAAATCCACAGCTCCCTGCCACTCTGATTCCTCATCAGTGACCCAAGTGCTGTTTTTCTCCCCAGCCCTACAAGGGCTGGAGCAGTCTGTGCCAGGCAAACTTTAAGTGCTTCCTTTGCCCCATCTCCTTCTCCCTGGGGGCTTCTGCCCTTTGCAGTCAGCCCTCCAGATCTCATCTGGACAAGGCACCCAGCACCCTGCTTTGAGCAGGGCTGGGCCCAGACACCCCCAGAAGTGTTTCCAGTCTCAGCTACTGGGCAAAGCAAAGAGGAAATCAGGAGCTGGCAGCAGCTGGTGGCAGTCTGCATCCCCAGCCCCCCTCTGGCAGAGCCCTGGCCCCACCACTTGGTGCCACTATCCTGTGGCAGCCAGTCCTGCAGGAGGCTGGGTGTGTTGGGACCCTCACCATGGAGGGGATCAGGAACGAAAGGCAGAACTTCACCATCTTTCTGAGCCTCAGCAGGCTGGAGAGGTCCAGTGTGGAGTGCAGGGTGCTGGTGCCTCCCCAGTGCTTGTCAGGCTTCAGTCAGGTGCTGGCATGGGGCGGGAGGACATGAGTCTGGGCTCTCACAGAGCAGTCCTGGCTCCTCCTGGCTCAGGATGTGGCCATGCAGAGACACGGCAAAGGGGCTCCATCAGGGACATGATGGTGACATCAGCTGCCCTGTACTTCCCCAGGCAGCGGTGGGCAGGGCCAGAGCCCAGCCTGGTGGGTCTGTCTGGGAAGTGATGCTGCTGGCAGGGCGCAATAGCTGCTGCTGGGACAGCATCTCCAGGGAGCCAGGAAACCCCATCCTGGCTCCTTGGCACGTGGATGATGGCCCAGAGCAAGCAAACCCATGGCCAGTCTCCAGCCTGTAGGCTGGTTATGGCTTTCTAGGGCACCGGGAGGTGACAAACAGAGCTTGTGACTTCTCTTTGTCCCAGTGCATGGGACTGTACGTCAGGTACTTGGCAGAGTGAGGACTGTGCGTGCAGACAAGAGCTGTGGACATGGTGGCTGGGAGCCAGGAGCCTCTGAACACTTCTGTTGCAGGAAGGTGCTGCTCTGCTTCCCTGCAGGGTGGCAGAGCCTTGGTTGCAGAGGGGTTCTCTGCATTTCAGGGTGCCAGGGGCAGCCCCATGGGCACCACACTGCTGTGCCAGCACCGCTCAGGGGTCACCTGGAACAGTCCCTCGTGGAAAGCAAGTGCTGGGGTCTGGCAGGGGTGCAGGCAGCACTTGGGGTGCAAAGAGGGCTGGTCGGAGAGCAGGGACCCCTGGGTGCACCCCGGACTGGCTGCCTTTCAGGGCCCAGAGGCTCTGCTTCCTCACCACCCTTTGTATTCTGAGCACAAGCACCATTGACATGGGACTGGAGCGAAGCCACGCATTTCTCTGCCTGGGCCAGGGCCTTTGTGGCCTCGTTTTCCAGGGCGAAAGTCCACTCCCTCTGTGTTCCTGGTGGCAGAAAGGCCCTCTTTGTGCATCTGGCAGCGTGCTCCTGCAGGGCCGGATTGGCACTGAGCAGCCCCAGCTGGGCAGGAAGCAGCAGGGAGGGGGTGGAGGGGGACTCTGACAAAGCGCTGGGGTGGGACACAGCAGGGTTAAGTGTCCCCAAGCAGGAGTTAACCCTCCCACTGCTGCCAGCCCACAGCCTGGCTCCTCAGTGGAGCAGGTGCCAACCTGGGCTGGAGGATGGTGCCGAGCCAGGGGCAGCGTGTGTCCTTCAAGGGCCCAGGTAACTCATCCTTGGGGTGGCTGGGGGAGCACGGGCTGCTTGGCAAGGCCAGGCTGTGATGCAGCCATGGCCCCTCTTCTCCCCACTCCAGGACAGGGATGCTGGGTCATCCCCTGCAATGGGATTCTCAGGGAGCACAGCAGCCCTTGGCTGCTTCCAGGAGCACCCACTTGCACTCCCAGCTGTCATCCTGCCATCCCCTGAGCTGAGCCCGCTGTGTGAGCCCAGCCCAGCAGGCAGCACAGCTCAGCCACAAGGCCGGGTGTGGGCTGCAGTGCTGGGTCCTTGCAGGGGCACAAGAGCATCAATGTCTTCTCCATGCTGCATCCTGCAGTGCAGCACTGGGATGCTGGAACCCTGCTGAGAGCTTCCTCCACTCCCTGCCTGTATTGCAGGTCTGTTCCAGAGAGCCATCATCCAGAGCGGCTCCGCGCTCTCCAGCTGGGCAGTGAACTACCAGCCTGTGAAGTACACCAGCATGCTGGCTGACAAGGTGGGCTGCAACGTGCTGGACACCGTGGACATGGTGGACTGCCTGCGGCAGAAGAGTGCCAAGGAGCTGGTAGAGCAAGACATCCAGCCAGCCCGCTACCACGTGGCCTTCGGGCCAGTCATTGATGGGGACGTGATCCCGGACGACCCAGAGATCCTGATGGAGCAGGGCGAGTTCCTCAACTATGATATCATGCTGGGGGTCAACCAGGGTGAAGGGCTGAAGTTTGTGGAGGGCGTGGTGGACCCTGAGGACGGCGTCTCAGGCAGTGACTTTGACTACTCAGTGTCCAACTTTGTAGACAACCTGTACGGCTACCCTGAGGGCAAGGACACCCTGAGGGAGACCATCAAGTTCATGTACACGGACTGGGCCGACCGGGACAACCCCGAGACACGTCGCAAGACTCTGGTGGCCCTCTTCACTGACCACCAGTGGGTAGAGCCATCAGTGGTGACAGCCGACCTGCACGCCCGCTATGGCTCCCCCACCTACTTCTACGCCTTCTACCACCACTGCCAGAGCCTGATGAAGCCTGCATGGTCCGATGCAGCCCACGGGGATGAGGTGCCTTACGTGTTCGGGATCCCCATGATTGGCCCCACTGACCTCTTTCCCTGCAACTTCTCCAAGAACGACGTCATGCTCAGCGCTGTGGTGATGACCTACTGGACCAACTTTGCCAAGACAGGGTGAGTGGGGATGGGTGCTGTCCTGTGCCTCGGGGGTCTGCACTCACTGCAGCTGTACTCCCTGGGGCTGTGCTGTGGTGGTGAGGGGGTTTATTATGCCTGGTGTGGGACACTGAGTTCCCTGTGCCCAGAGGTCCCCGTGTGCTGCACCTTCACTGGGGCCATGGCATCAACTACAAAGCAAGAAGCTTAGATCATGGCCAGCGCCTGGGACAGGACCCAGCCAAGCCGCAGGGGTGGGGAGGCTTGTTGGCCCTGGTTATCTTGGGTGAGACTTGAGCCGGGGTTGGGTGCTGCCCAGTCATTCAAGACCTTTTGCCAGCCCAACCTGTGCCACCACTGGCAAAGGTCCCCTCAGTTTCTGTGTCTGCATCCAGCTCTCCCTCTTTGTTTCTTTGGCTTTTCCCAGTGCTAGTTCTGTTCTGCCTGTGTTTCACAGGGACCCCAACAAGCCTGTCCCCCAGGACACCAAGTTCATCCACACCAAGGCCAACCGGTTTGAGGAGGTGGCCTGGTCCAAGTACAACCCCCGTGACCAGCTGTACCTGCACATTGGGCTGAAGCCGCGAGTACGCGACCACTACCGGGCCACCAAGGTGGCTTTCTGGAAGCACCTGGTTCCCCACCTGTACAACCTGCACGATATGTTCCACTACACCTCCACCACCACCAAAGTGCCACCACCCGACACCACGCAGAACTCCCACATCACCCGCCGGCCCAACAGCAAGATCTGGACCACCAAGCGCCCCGCCATCTCGCCCGCCTACAACAGCGAGAACGGCAAGGAGAAGTGGAGCCCAGAGCAAGAGGCGGGCACGCTGCTCGAGAGCCCCCGCGACTACTCCACCGAACTGAGCGTCACCATCGCCGTGGGCGCCTCCCTCCTCTTCCTCAACGTGCTGGCCTTCGCCGCCCTCTACTACCGCAAGGACAAGCGCCGGCAGGACACGCACCGGCAGCCCAGCCCCCAGCGCGGCGCCTCCAACGACATCGCCCACGCGCCTGACGAGGAGATGCCCTCCTTGCAGGTGAGCCAGGGGCACCACGAGTGCGAAGCTGTGCCATCCCACGACACCCTGCGCCTGGCCGCTCTGCCCGACTACACCCTCACCTTGCGCCGCTCTCCGGACGACATCCCGCTTATGACCCCCAACACCATCACCATGATCCCCAACTCGCTGGTGGGGCTGCAGACCCTGCACCCCTACAACACCTTCACCGCCGGCTTCAACAGCACGGGGCTTCCGCACTCACACTCCACCACCAGGGTATAGCTGCCCGCCGCCGGCGCACACGCATGCACGCACGCACACACACGCAGCAGACACTGGCACAGGGACCGGCGGGGCCCACAGAGCCCCCGGACGGAGGGGCAGCGCCCATGGACGGTGCAGCTCCCAGCCCAGAGACCTGTGGGGTCCCAGAGCGGCCCCAGCGCTTTCTTTTGTTCCTATCTAACTTTTGAGAAGTGCTTTGACTCTCCTGGCCTCAGGGCCCCGTGGGTTGCCCCGGGACGCCAGTGGGGTGCAGGAGGGACACGGTGTAGTCCTGCACAACCCACCCGTGCAGGTGGGCAGGGGTACCCCACCGTCAGTGGCCACGGGGTTCCCAGTGCCGTGGCCGTGCCTCCCAGTGGGGCGATCACATCCCCAGTGCTGAGCCCACCGAGCACCCTGGGACTGACGAGGAGCGGGACCGGGCATTCCTCTCAGCCAGTGCCCAGGCATCCCCAGGCATCTTGGCAGCCCTGGAAAAGGCTCCTTCACTGTGCTGAGAAGTGGCCCCAGGCCATGGTGCTATAGGCAGAGGGAATGGGCAGAGTCCAGGGACCTGGCCTTGTGCTGGATGCGGGCGCTGGGGCTGGTGCCGGGGCTCAGGGACCCTGGGAGCGGGGCCCTGCGCTGGAGACTTGGCACCTCTGCCCCTCTTTGCGCTGCAGAGAATCTCTTTTGTGTCAGTCATTTCTCTTTGCAGAGACGTTTTTTAAGCAGATCTTTAGTTCTTTACACACTAACGGAGTCGCCGCGTTTTGTCCTTTGTAAAGATTTTAAAACCAAGTGTTCTTGATATAAAATAAAAAGCCAGTTAGAAGCCAGCGTGTGCGCACGGTGCCGGCCCCCCATGGCGCCCGCCTGCCGTGGGTGGGCACCAGGCAGGGCAGTGCCTCCTGCACTGTGGGGCTGCGCTCTTTTGTATTTTTTGATATTCTCCCTCCTCTGTCACCCGTGCCCACGTATCTCAGCCAAAAAGCCTATCCAACGGCCTGCCTGCGAGCACCCCCGCCCCGGTCCCTCACTGCCACACTGGCCAGTGCCACCCACCGCCCCGTGTGGGCATCGCCTGCTCCGAGCACTGTTCACTCCCACGAACCCAGGACAGCCCCTCATGCTCCCCACCCTGCCCTGCTCCCCCAGGAGCATCCCACGTCCCTTCACCACTGCCCCAGGGCTGCGCTGTGCCCTCCCTGCCCATGCTTGTTGCCCGAAAGCAGAGCCAGTGGTTTGCAGGAGTGGGGTGACAGGAGCAGGGTGAGCTGCTCACCAGCATCAACTCTGCTCCTAGGTTGCTTCCACTGGGGCCTTCACCCCATCCTGGGGTGACCCCAGCTCCGGCATCCAGGATGTGCAGCTGGAACAGATGCGTGGGTAGGGACTCTAGGGGTGATGCAGTCTGTGTGGGGCTGGGAGCACGTGTGCTGGGGCTGGGGCATCTGCTGTGGCCACCGAGCCACACGTGGCTCTAGGCGAGTGGCTTTGGTGTGGTCGGGCATGGAGAAGGAGCTGCAGGGGATCCCACGTGGGGCACCCCAGTCTCAGCCCCCAAGGTGAGCACTAGCACCTGGGGGCTGGGGAGGCAGGAGAAAGGGACAGCTCCTTGTGGGGACACCGTATCTTGTCCCTGTGCAAGACGGTCCGGCTGGCAGACGCTGCCCGTGCTGGCGGCCGTGACGCACCGGTGCCGGCTGGCCCTGCTGCCCGGGGCCAGCGCATCGATGGCCCTGCTGGCCCTGCTGCCCGGGGCCAGCGCATCGATGGCCCTGCTGGCCCTGCTGCCCGGGGCCAGCACAGAACAGCCCCGCACCCCGCCCCGGCCCCTCCCCGCGCGGGGCTGAGGGTGAGGATGCTCGTTGGAGAATGTATTTATACCCTGTCACCCGCGCAGAGTAACAAATTCCAAATAAAACAGAAGTGATATTTTTAATAGCGGTGTGTCTCGCCTCTTCTTGGAGCATGCAGGGCCTGGGGACCACTGGGCTGGGTGGGTGCCCTGTGCTGGGCCTCGTGTCCCTGGCAACCCCCCCAGAGGACCCTGGTATCACCCACCATGTCAGGGTGCTGGACACCATCCAGGACACACCACCCAGGACTGCCAACACCATGTGTGTCCCCACATCCCCCCAGCCCTGCTGCCCCCAGCACTGGGACCCCTTGTGGGAATGCATCTGTCCCACAGCCCCCTCCCTCCCAACTTCAAACCCCTTCCCCAGCCTTTCCCAGCTGAGCTCCCCTCCCCCTGTTTGCCAAAGAGAAAAGCTGCTGGTTTCATTTCTTTTTAATGTAATTTCAACTGGAGTTGCCATGGAAACCAGGAGCGGAGTGGGGGGGCTGAATTGCCTGCAGGCAGCGTGCAGACACTGGAGCCAGGGCCGAGGCCCCGAGCCAGGGGAGCCGGGGCAGGCAGGGGGACAGGCTGTGCAGGAAGCTGAGTGTGGGGCTCTGCCCTTCTCCCCACGGGGGACTTGTGCAGCTCCAGTGCCATGGGGGCATGTCACCCTGTCCAGCACCGTGCTCCAGACCCTGTGCTGGACCCCCCTGAAAGCCCTGGTGCTGCCCATTGTGGCACCCCAGAGGGTGCCTAGTGCCCTCTTGAAGGGGTGATGCCTTTCTGCCGCAGATGACGGGATTGCCCTGCCCTTCTGTCCCCTCTCCTCATCCCTGCACAGCCCCAGCTGCACGCTGCCACATGTGCCAGCATGGCCAACCCAGCTAGGACCCCAAGGCAAGCTGGTGACACACAACCCACTGCTATTATGCCACTGCCTTTGCAAAACTCCTGAGGCTGCCATCTGTCCAGGGTGTCCTTGACCATCAACATTTTTCCTTTGGAGACCTGGCAAAGCTCAAGGGACACTGTATCCCAGAGGGTATGAACAGTTTACATCTGCGTGACAGCTGTGGGACATCCTCTGCTTCAGGGAACATGTTTAGGGCTGTTGGCAAGGAGAGCCATAAGGGAACTCAACTGCAAAGGTGTCCCTGGCGTGGGAGGGACTGAGTGACCTGTGGCTGGCCTCTGGCTGCTTGAGGAGTCACAGCCAGGAGGAGGGCAGGGATGCTGCTCTTCACAGAAGCATCACTGGGATAGTGCCCTGGTCCTGTTCCCCACACCTCTGATGCACCCAGGACACAGGAGAGCAGACTCACAGGCAGGCAGAACAAGCTGTTAAGTCTTAGGCTGCAACCCCCTCTGCCCTGTGCTGCAGCAGCACAAAGGATTTCTGTGCTCACCCACTGCCAGTGACCTTCCTGGCAGTTGACTCAGACCAGAGGGTTTTGTCTCTCTGAGAACAGCAGCCTGGATCCAGGGATGCCTGTCCTGCTGCCAGTCCAAGGCTGGAACCCAGCAGCCCCTGCACTGCAGTGGCCACCCAGTGCCGAGGCCGGGCCATTCACAGGGCCAGCCCTGCCTGGAGCAGAACGGCCGGGGAAAGGAGGCTCTGGAAGCCTCCTCTGCAGCCCTCCTGACAGCGGAGATGTTTCAGTGTGTGGTTCTTGATTTCGCCCATCGTACCCACACGGACTGCTGGGCCATGAGTTCTCTGACCCTAGCAGAATGGCAGCAGCTGCGTCACCTCAGTCCCACCATCCCCACTGACTCAGTCCTGCCCGTCTCATCAGCTTATCCGCGTTAGATGTGCCCACGTCTTTGAACTCTTCCGCTACAACTTCTGACACCAATTAACCCCACAATTAGCATCATTAACAAGGAGCCCATTTCTGGCCCACGTGGTGTCGGGCGGGGCAGTTTTCTGAGTACTGGAGGCAGCGCCGGCCACAGCTGCGGGTACAGCCCGTCCTTCACCGGTGGCTTTTGCAGTTCAACCCGCGGCCATCAGGCCAGGGGGCTGCCCGCGCCCCCGCCCACCCCTGGGGCCTCTGCTCCTCCCAGCAACTCCCTGCAAGGACAGCGGGCGGGCCCCGTGCTGGACAGCAACGCCCCGGCTTCCTCCTCCTCTTTCCTGTTGTTTTTTATCCATATTTACTATATTTTAGATGATTCCCACGCTGAGCCCCGCCGGTGCTGCCGCGGGCAGGTGCGGCCCCGCCGCCCCCGGCCCGGCCCCGCAGCGCCACCTNGACCACCCCCGCCGACCCGTCGCCTGGCTCCCAGCACCCCCCAGACACCCCTATCCTGGCTCCCAGCAATCCCCAGTCGCCCCTCGCCTGGCTCCCACCACCCCCTAGCCACCCCTGTCCTGGCTCCCAGCGCTCCCCAGTCACCCCTATCCTGTCTCCCAGTGATCCCTAGTGACCTCCTGCCTGGCTCCCAGGGCCCTCCAGTAGGACGCCTGTCCTGGCTCCCAGTAATCCCCAGCCACCCCTATCCTGGTTCCCAGTAATCCCCGGCCACCCTTATCATGGCTCCCGGTGCCCCCCAGCCACCCCTATCCTGGCTCCCAGTGCTTCCCAGCCACCCCTCTCCTGGCTCCCAGTAATCCCTGACCACCCCTATCCTGGCTCCCAGTGCTTCCCAGCCACCCCTCTCCTGGCTCCCAGTAATCCCTGACCACCCCTATCCTGGCTCCCAGTGCTTCCCAGCCACCCCTCTCCTGGCTCCCAGTAATCCCTGACCACCCCTATCCTGGCTCCCAGTGCTTCCCAGCCACCCCTATCCTGGCTCCCAGTAATCCCTGACCACCCCTATCCTGGCTCCCAGTGCTTCCCAGCCACCCCTCTCCTGGCTCCCAGTAATCCCCAGCCACCCCTATCCTGGTTCCCAGTAATCCCCGGCCACCCTTATCATGGCTCCCGGTGCCCCCCAGCCACCCCTATCCTGGTTCCCAGTGACCTCCAGTTGCCCCTATCCTGGTTCCCAGTAATCCCAGTGACCTCCAGTAAGACCCCTCCCCAGCCACCCCTATCCTGGCTCCCAGTGCTTCCCAGTCACCCTATCCTGGTTCTCAGTGACCTCCAGTAAGACCCCTAGACTGCCTCCCAGGGACCCCTCTCCCCACCCCAACCTCCCATCGTGTTTCGTCCCACTTAGCTCAGCCCACCCCAGTGCTGACCAGTCTGCCCTCCCCTTGATCGCCCCCAGTGCCCCCCAGCCAGCCCGATGGCTCCAGCCGGCCCCACTACAGCCCCTTCCCCCCCAGTCTGCCCTCCGCTGACCGCCGGGACCCGTCCAGGGTGCGGCACCCCGGCGCTCCTCGCCGGCGCTGCTGACTCAGGTGTGGCGGATTATCAGAGACTGAGACTGTGGCCCTGATGGCCCCGATGGCCCCAAGCAGCCCTGCCCCACCGGCCACCGCCGGTATCTCCCTGCCCACCGACCCCCGCCCCGCTGCGGGGGCACCCCAAGCGACCCCAGCCGCCCCACAGTGCCACCCTGCCGTCCCCACGCGGAGACACCGGCACCACGGTGACCCTCCTGCGAGGGACGGCGTGCAGGCTCCCGCAGCCGGCCCGGGGCCCGGGATGAGCGGCAGGGTCGCCATGTCCCGCACGGGGTGCTGGGCGGCGGGACCTTGAAGCGGGCCAGCCGAGTTAATCGTTGACAGGCTGTTTGCCTTTTCCCGGCTGCACTTTTACACATTAAATCTGGGTATTGGGTATTGGCTGGTAAATCAGCCGGCAGCCTGAAGCGCCAGATCAAGGTGCTCCAAGAGCTGGGGGTGCTCAGAGTCATCCCCCGGGTGGAGAGCAGGGCTCCGCCGCGGTGCATGTGCCTGGCTTGCAAGGAATGCGGCGGGGAGGATGCTCACAGCAGGGGAGTGGGGCCACGGGGACCAGAAACCTCCCCGGGGGCCATCCTGGGGGGCTGGCCGTGCTGCAGTAGCCCCGGGGCTGGCCCCGGGGGATGCTCAGCCG